GGGTTAGGGTTAGGGTTAGGGTTAGGGTTAGGGTTAGGGTTAGGGTTTAATTCATACATTAAATGAATTATTCACCACAGTCAAGTGGGATTTATCACGGAAATATAGGGCTGCTTCAACATTCACAAAACAATCAACATTACCACAATACCACATTAATAAAAGAAAGGATAAGAACCATACGATCCTCTCAATAGATATAGAAAAAAGTATTTGACAAAATACAGCATCCACTCTTGATAAAAACCCTCAACAAAGCAGGGATAGATGAAATATACCTCAGCATCATAAAGGCCACATATAAAAGACCCACAGCAAATATCAGCCTCAATGAAGAAAAAGTGAGAGTCTTTCCCCTATGGTCAAGAACAAGACAAGGATGTCTACTCTAACCATTACTATTTAACATAATATGGGAAGTCTTAGCCTCAGCAATTAGACACCAGAAAGAAATAAAAGGCATCCAACCAAGCAAGGAAGAAGTCAAACTTTCACTATTTGCAGACAACATGGTACTCTATGTAGAAAACCCAAAAGACTCCACCAAAAAATTGGTAGAACTAATACATGAATTCAGCAAATTCACAGGATATAAAATCAACGTACAGAAATCAGCTGCATTTCTATATACCAATAATGAAGCAGCAGAAAAAGAAATCAAGGTATCAATCTCATTTACAATTGCACCAAAAACCATAAAATACCTAGGAATAAACCTAACCAAAGAGGCAAAAGATCTGTACTCTAAAAACTATAGAACACTTATGAAAGAAATTGAAGGAGATATAAACTAGTGGAAAAGCATTCCATGCTCACGGATTGGAAGGACAAACATTGTTAAAAAATCTATACTACCCAAAGCAATCTACACATTTAACACAATCCCCATCAAAATGCCACCAGCATTTTACACAGAGATAGAACAAACAATCCTAAAATTTGTATGGAACCACAAAAGGCCCTACACAGCCAAAGCAATCTTGAAAAAACAAAACAAAACAAAACTGGAGGCATCCAAATTCTGGATTTCAAGCTATATCACAAAAACGTAGTCATCAAGATAGTATGGTATTGGCACAAAAACAGACAGATCAATGGAACAGAATAGGAAATGCAGAAATGACCTACAACTATACGGTCAAGTCATCTCCGACAAAGCAGTAAAGAATATCCAGTGGGAAAAGGACAGTCTCTTCAACAAATGGTGTTTGGAAAACTGGACAGCGACATGCAGAAGAACGAAACTAGACCACTCTCTCACACCATATACAAAAACAAATTCCAAGTAGATGAAAGATCTCAATGTGAGACAGGAAACCATCAAAATCCTAGAGGAGAACACAGGCATCAATCTCTTTGACCTCAGCTGTAGAAACGTCTTACTAGACACATCACCAGAGGCAAGGGAAACAAACAAACAAAATTAACTACTGGGACTTCATACAAATAAAAATCTTCTGCACAGCGAAGGAAACAAGACTAAACTAAAAGGTAGCAAAACTAAAAGGCAGCTACAAAATGGGAGAAGATATTTGCAAACGACATGTATGTTAACTATACTGAAATTTTTAAAAATCCTCATATAACGACTGACTTCCCCCAAACTTTACTAATAGCCTACTCTTGACCAGAAGCCTTACTGATAACATGAACAGTTGAAAAACACATATTATGTATGGTATATGCATTATATCCTGTATTTTTACCAAAAAAAAGTAAGCTAGAAGAAAGAAAATGTTATTAATGAAATCATGAGGAAGAGAAAATACACTTACAATTCTGTACTGTATTTACCAAAAAAAATCCACATGTAAGTGGATCCACACAGTTCAAACCCATGTTGTTCAAAGGTCAACTGTATATACGCATATAAAATCACCAAGTGGTACACTGGGAACTAATAGAATGCTATATGTCAATTATGCCACAATTAAAAAAGTAAATTGTAAACAAATTTTTAGTCCCCAGACAAAACTAGGTATTGTTTTCCCTAAATACAACTTCTAACTCTGAGAAGGACTGCTGTTTTAGGAACTGCTAAACGAGGGGCGCCTGTGTGATTCAGTCAGTTAAGCATCTCTTGATTTCGGTTCAGGTCATGATCTCACAGGTTATGAGCTTGAGCCCCACATCGGGCTCGGCGCAGACAGTGTGGAGCCTGCTTGGGGTTCTCTCCCTCTCTCTCTGCCCCTCCCCTGCTTGCTCACTCTCTCTCTCAAAATGAACTTAAAAACAGAATTGTGAAATGAGCAGGAGCTAACAGATGAAGAAATTCAGTCTTCAGCCCAGGAGCTACATCAATCAAGGCTGGGATGTAGAATAATCATGATTATTCTATGCTGGGAATTATTGACAAGTACTTGGCACATGCTTTCACCAAGGATTCTTCTTCTGTGCCACTGTCCTCTTTGGCAATCTAGTAGAGCCTATCGATTTCTTCTCAAAATCAGGTTTTTAAAGCATAGAACACAATACACGGGAAAAGACGTGAAACAAAATATACTGAGACAAAAAGCTATACGGTAATAAAGTGCTTCTTTCCTTTAACATATTCAATGATGAGGTCTAGTGACAGGTTTAACAATACTGTAACTTTGAAACACTGAGGAGCCTTAATGCAATTAATATCCCTATTGAAGTTCACAGGCATCCGGAACTCCAATCCACTGGTTTGTGGACCCCAGGGCTAATTTAATCCTGATTATAACCCTATAAAGTATTATTATTCCTTTTTCTTCCAGATGAGGAAAATGAGTACGGAGAGGTTAAATGACTTGCCCGTGAATAATAAGTTTTGGAGCTGAGAACTGCGCCCATAATCTGGTTCCAAGCCCTGTGTTCTTAACGACTACACAGTGCCTGGCTTAGCTCGGGGCTTGCCTCATGGTCAAGGTCAACAACATTAGCTGGTAGGTGGAAGTAGTAATTGTAATAAGTAGTGGAAGCATTAGGGGGAGAATATGTCTAGAGGATAAAGAAGAGTTTGTACCAGTATTAAGAAAATCTTTAAAGGGAAAAATCTGGTATGAAGCAATAAAGCCAACTACACAGCACGTCGCGTATCCTGTTCCTGCGAGACACGTACAAGTTCATTGCTTTCTCTCTGTGATTACCCATTCTGGGGCTAAACAGCACAGACTTCGGGGGATGTGATAATGTACAGAAGTGTTCTTGAGTCTATGAAAATTTCTTCCTTTTATTTGTATAACCCCTTATTAATGACGGGGGGCTTTTCTACACTTCCAGGAGGCACTTTCCCCCAAAGACCCTCAGGACATAAATCATTGCGGCAGAATAAAAAGAACGCTGTTCATCCTGCAGAGAGGGTTGCTCAGAATGAATGCAGCTACTATTCTTTTCTGCCCTCGTTTGTAAACGTGAGAAGTCAGAGGTTTGGATATGGCGTGGGGCCTGCAGGCACTATGTAAATATTAACGAATTGAAAGGTGTTGATAAGGTAAAGAGACTTACACTTCTCCAAATGGTGACAGCCAACACTTTAGTTTCAATTTTTTTTTTTTTTAAGGAAAAAGACAAGCAACGGAGCCCGGATCATCAGAAAGGCTTTCTTCGTGCGTTGGGTGACAGCCATCACGGTCTCAGTGAGAGGGAGAGCCCTGCCGGAGGCTAATGGACCATAGGAAGATGATTTATCCTTTCTCCCAAGTCTGCCTTGTAAAAGCATTTCTCTAATCGCCTGTCCACAGCGTATGTTTCCTGTAACAAGGCACTCCGTTCCCTAACATTCATAGGGCACACTGCTGCCAACAGCAAAGCAGAAAAGTGACGGGAGGTGCCCTGTCACACCATCCAGGTAAATGCCTCCTGATCCACCAGAGGGTTTGAGAACCCCAGTTCCCAAGCTCTGTCAGGCTGACATTCTATTAAACCCCACGGGAAAGAAAAAACTTTAACACTAACATGCAAGAGGGATTGAAGTACTAAGCCCAGCACTCAGCCAGGGGATCAAGTCTCAGGAGGACATTGTGAGGTCAGAGGATGCCTGAGAGTCTGCACACATTCCTCCCCCAGGCCACCCGGCCCGGACTTGGGAAAAGAGCACATGTGACCAGCTGCCCTGAAAAATACCAACGAGAACCTTCACAGATGGCTCCGAGCCCGGGGTAAAAATAGCTCATCATACAGCACAGCCCTAACGAGGGGCAGGACAGGTTTTGATTTCAGCTTGCCAAAAAGGTAAAAAAAAAAAAAAAAAAAAATGTTTTCACTAAATCATAAAAGGCTGCCATGGCAAGAGAGACTTAAAATACGAATATTTTACATTCTACCTTATTTCAAATTCATTCAACTGTCATCGGCAAAAGAATGAAAAACATTTGCAGCTAGGAAAAAAAAAAAGTATTTGTCTTTCTTCTGATTTGACCATAACAAGAAAACTGGCAGCCTGATAACTTCTTCAATACGTAGACTCATGGGAAGAGTTGAGTAAGGAGAGAAATGAAAACATGTGCTTTTGCATTAATTTCTAAAGACTCAGACTTACAGATTTATCGGAGTTCTAATTTGTTTAATTATTTATTTTAAACAAGCTGTCTAATTCATGTCCCATTGTTCCAGTGAGGTTTCTATTTTTACCAAGGGGGGGGTGAATCATGCTCTGATCATTTACAGACATGTTTAGGACGTGATTTTGCAAGTCAAGGCCCAAGTGAAATTTTGATATCCAGACCAGAGCCTTGACGCTCAGCACACTAAGCAGCCATTGTGCACTGACATTATGTTGGCCTGTGCGCACTGATTGTATCACACACAGTAGAGGTGATTGGAAGGGTTCCATGGACAAAAAATAGCTCAGATAATAACTCCTTACAAGATAAGAGGAAATAAGTGGCATTTGATTCGGGGTTCCCTCAGTCCCCTGACCTGGTGAACAAGAAAATGCTTTTGTAGCTTTCAGTTGTTGAAACTGATGCAATCAATTTGCATCCAATCAGCAAAGAAGTGTTTGTCCTCATGTACAGTGTTGTTCTGTCCTGAGAGCCATGAATGCTTTTCTTATTTGATTCAAATTTCTAGTGCCTCATTAATATAATAGAGTCTTGATGCCCGGTTAATAAAAATCTCAGCTCTGCTGGATTTTCTTTTGAGTTTTTTAATAAAAGGTAAAATTAAATCTAATTAGAACTTTTAACCTACGTGCAATGTAAATAGGTTCAGTGTTGAAATTCACATGTTAAAAAGGGTAGAGTAATTGTTTTTTTAGGTCTCATCTGGAGTTTCTAAAATTTTAATCCCTTGAAATTGAACATTAATCCAAGTGCTGCCTTTTTTTTGTTTTTTTTTTCCCAGTGGGTCAGAATTTTAAATGGCCAGATGAGGTTCATAAGTGTAGAACGGTGCTGGTAGAATTCTTAGTTTTTTCTCTCTGGGTGTCAGGAGATGATTCACAGTCAGTTCAGAGAAAAGAAAAATAAAAAACGCCTCCATCTTGAGACTTTTCCTTAACTAGAGAGTGCTTTTTTGATTACGAGTTGATTTCCATTCCGAATAGAGAAACTCATATTTCTGATCTTATTTTTCTACCTAACAGAAGAAAGGTTTATATGCTTTTCTCTTCCACTGGGAGGATTTGCATGATTATAAATATATCAACCCATGTTTTCTTATAATACCTTGTAGTTATAGTTTTAGCATTTACATGTTCTATGTAGCTGGAATTTATTTTGGCATTAAGTATAAATCCAGTTTTTCTTAATGGCTTTCCATTTGTCCAAATATAATAAGGCACTGATCTGAAATACTTTTATTATACATTACATTTATATATGCATGGACCTCAATTCCTTTCCATTACAATGACTGTTCTCATTGTCACAGTTTTGGTCAATGTGTCTTTTATATTCCCACATTGTTTTAGCCACCGTACTACGTCGTAATACGTTATATATTCACTACACTACTATTAAGATGTATTGTAAAGATGCTGCTCATCTTTGCTATTCTTTTCCAAAGTGGCTGTGGCTACTCCCTGAAACTCTTAATAAGTTGTAGTTTCAAGTCTTCTTACCTGCCCCCCCTCCTCCAGTTGATTGGGATATCTTTTGATTCATTGATTAATTTAGATACTATCACTACTTCAAAATATTGCTTGTTCTAAAGCATAAACATGTGCAATCTTCCTTGAATACTTCCTTATCAAGTTCATTCCAAAGTATTTAATGTCTTTGGCTTATTTTTGTGTCTGAGTGAATGCAGTCCCTCCAACCTGATACTTTTGTTTTTTTTCGTTTAGTAAAGTATTGATTTTCGCATATTACCTTAAAGACCAACTGCTTTACCATATATATGTATATATATATATATGTATATATATATATTACTATTTTTCTAATAGCTTTTCAGCTGAGCTTTCCTTAAAAACACAAAATTGAATTACATTTGTAAAAACAATATATCAAAATGTAATTTAAATTATCAAAATGTAGGGGTGCCTGGGTGGCTCAGTCAGTGGAGTGCCCGACTTCAGCTCAGGTCAAAATCTCCCGGTTCATGACTTCAAGCCCCACGTCAGGCTCTGTGCTGACAGCCCAGAGCTTGGAGCCTGCTTCAGATTTTGTGTCCGCCCCCCCCGCCCCTCCCACTTGTTCTCTCTGTCTGTCTGTCTCTCTCAAAAATAAACATTAAAAAAATTAATTATCAAAATGTAGAGTCTGAAATAATGAGGTTTTGCTGTATCTGAGAATATGCACCTTTCTATAAATCTTACTAACTTTAATAGCTTTACAGATTTTAATCCTGTCCAGCAAGAACAAAATAAATACAAGGTTTAGGGTCTATCCCCACTCAGTGGCCAAAATTCTCTGATTATAACCACTTTTCCCCCCGTCTCTTTAAGTTGTCACTTTGTACAGTGGAAAGAGTGGTACTTCCTCTTTCCTCCCTAAGTTGAGGTGACATATGATAAATGAAACACTGAAGCAAGGTATTAACAGCTTCCCAATAGATACTACACTGCATTTACCAAGCACACCAGCCAGTACTCACCAATAATGCTACCACTCACAGAGTTTTAGTGTTGGTGATAGTGGAGTAGTTAGTCAAACTAATTTTACTTTTATTTTAAAAAAAAATTTTTTTTAACGTTTATTTATTTTTTGGGGGACAGAGAGAGACAGAGCTTGAACGGGGGAGGGGCAGAGAGAGAGGGAGACACAGAATTGGGAGGGAGACACAGCCCAGAGCCTGACGCGGGGCTCGAACTCACGGACCGCGAGATCGTGACCTGGCTGAAGTTGGCCGCTCAACCGACTGCGCCACCCAGGCACCCCAAACTAATTTTACTTTTAAAAAAAATGCTTAATGTTCATTTATTTTTGACAGAGAGACAGAGAGAGACAGAGCATGAGCGGGGGAGGGGCAGAAAGCGAGGGAGACAAAGAATCCGAAGCAGGCTCCAGGCTCTGAACTGTCAGCACAGAGCCCGACGCGGGGCTCGAACTCACAGACTGCAAGATTACGACCGGAATGGAAGTTGGACACTTCACCGACTGAGCCACCCAGATGCCCCTCGAACTAACTTTATTTTTGATAGCAATTAGTTGAAATAGTTTTTAAAAATGATCTGAAGGCATCGGTGAATGACTAAAAATGGGCAGAAAGTAGGTGAAAACTTCATGCAGAGCGAGATGACTACAACTCAAGAAGAAAGCCACAATCTGATTGGGTTGAAGGAGGGAAAATGAAATACAGGGTTGCTTGAGTGGCTGAATATTTAGGGTGGAAATCCTGGAACAGAGGGAACCACAGAGGAGGAAGTCCTAAATTGGAATATAAACTCCTCTCAAATGCTCAGCTGCTATAAACTGTGCATACGTTTCCCAGCAGAAAGCAAAAGCTAGAAGTTAGAAAGAACTAAGCAGAAACTCCAGCTGTTGCCCACTGCAGAGTGAACAACATTTAGAATTTTGAAACCTACCAAGTTAGAGGGGCTTGGTAAACAGCTCAGAGTTATTTTGGAACCATAGAAGAGCCCTGACTTACAAGTAAAGGTTATGTCCCAGGACTGAGGGGTTCACCCTAGGAGTAAGGGCAAAACCAAAATAGATCTGCCCTAAATAGACATTAAACCAAGCTTCCAAAAGTTAAGATAGATCAGTCAGTAATTTAACTGCATGCTAAAACAAAAACCAAAACTCTTCAAGGAATATAAGAGATTTCCAAGTACATGTATTGTGCACAATGTCTTGTGTATGATTTAAAAACTATTTTTTATTTTTTTTATATATTTTTATATATTTTATATATTTTTATATATTTTTTTATTTTTTTAATGTTTATTTATTTTTGACAGAAAGAGACAGAGCATGAGTGGGGGAGGGGCACAGAGAGAGAGGGAGACACAGAATCCAAAGCAGGCTCCAGGCTCTGAGCTGTCAGCCCATGGCCCGACATGAGGCTCGAACCCACAAACTGTGAGATCATGACCTGAGCCGAAGTTGGATGCTCAACCAACTGAGCCACCCAGGTGCCCCCCAGATTACTATATATTTGAAGAAACAGAGAGGTATAACCCATAGTTAAGAGAAAAATCATGAAAACCGCATTCTGAATGACCAAGATGTTGGAATTAGCAGATATAAATTTTAAGGCAGCTATTATAAATATGTTCCAAGAAAGTAAAGGGAATGATGGTCATAATGGGTGTACAGATAGGGAATCTCAGCAGAAAAATGGAAACTGTATTTTATGAATACAAAAAAGGAGGAGGATAAGGAAGAAATTCTAAAGCTGACAAGAATAGTATTTAAAGTGAAAGAAAATCCCTGGATGGGCTTCCCAGCAGTTGAAGAGACAGAAGAAAGGATCTGTGAATTTGGATACAAATCAACGGAAATTATCCAATCTGACAAAAATCAAAGAAGAAACTTCTGAAGAACAAAGACAAAAAAAAGACCCAAGAAAGTCAAGGGCAGGGGTGACTGGGTGGCTCAGTCCTTTAACCATCAGACTCTTGACTCTTGATTTCCACTCAGGTCATGATCTCAGAATTAGTGAGTTCAAGCACCACACAGGGCTCTGCACTGACAGCACGGAGCCTGCTTAGGATTTGGTCCCTCCGTCTCTCTCTGCCCCTCCCCTGCTTGTGCTCTCTCTCTCAAAATAAATAAACAAACATTAAAAAAAAAAAAGAAAGAAAGGCAAGGGAAAAGGTATAGCTGGACAGTTTTTGAGGACTTCATCCCAACGCAGGATTTCATCAATTCAGTCGAGTGTCTAGATTCCACACAGTTGGCAAAATGTCTCTCATGTCTCTCAAACTGTCTCCCAAACAGCTCTCTTAAAACTTCTTCCAGAAGACCTCACTTCCTGGATAAACAGCTTTATTTAGAACATCTCTCCACTTCCTTCCAACCCTATGAATGAGAGCATTATCCTTGCTGATCCCATTGAGAATATCCTAAACGAAGGGAAAAATACCCGAGAAGCGTATGCATTTTCAGAGGGGGCTCCCTGGTTTTGTCAATGAAACTCTCTTTCGACTTCCCCAATAAGGTAGAGCGCTCAAAAATTTGCTGAATGAATGATTACACAATCTGGAAGGAAAAAGAAAAAAAGACAAGGAAAAGTGAGGGCACTATTGAGAAAGTGGCTCATTTTATTGGCCACCGAGTTTCAAAAAGGTCAAAGAATAGATGGAGTTGGACTAAGGAAATAAAGAAACTGGGCCGGGGGTGGGAAGCCTATGCTCAAAGAGGGAGCAGAAGATTTGAGAAGCAATACACTTACAGGGGATGACAAGGTGAGGGCTTGTCCAACCAGTTCCAGTCCCTTTGAATGAAAGCAGCACATCCACGCAGACCCAGTAGAAGAGCTCAAAAAATCAGCTGCAAGCATCGCTCCTTCATCTCCAAAGTTGAACTCTTGATTTCCTCCTCCAACCTGCTCTCCACCCCCATCTTAGCAAATGGCACCTCCAACTGCCTGGTCATGTCCTATCAGAAACTCGGAAGTCATTTTTATTCCTCTCTCTCACCTCACCCCTACATTCAACCTATCAAGATCTACATTCAACCTTCTTTTTTTTTTTTTTTCTTTTTCAATGTTTATTTATTTTTGAGACAGAGACAGAGCGTGAATAGGGGAGGGACAGAGAGAGAGGGAGACACAGAATCTGAAACAGGCTCCAGGCTCTGAGCTGTCAGCACAGAGCCCGACGTGGAGCTCGAACCCACGAACTGTGAGATCATGACCTGAGCCGAAGTCGGAAGCTTAACCGACTGAGTCACCCGGCCGCCCCAAGATCTGCTGGTTCTTCTATCTCCACTGCCATCAGCCTATTTCAAGCTGTCATCACTTTTGTCCTGAACTATTGAAATAGCGACTTATTATATTTCTGTTTCCCACTCTTGTCCACCTTCGTGTTTTCTCTACATACAACCAGTTATCATGTAAGCATATAAATCAGATTAACTCTTTTCTATTTAAAACAGTACCTTCCATCCAAGCTAATATAAGATTCACATTTTTTTTTACTGTACAATCAGAACCCTGTCTGTTTCCCCAGTCTCATCTCTCACAGCTTTTCATCTTGTTTATTGTACCCCCCACCCCCCGCCCAGTGTTATATATACTGGCGCTAATATAGCGAGTTCTTATTCTTCTACTTGGGCACCTTCACAGCAAGTGTTTTCTCTCTTGGAATGATCTCCTGTTCTCATCAGGTGACCGACTCTTTCTTTTCCTCTGAGGATCAGCTCAAAAGGCCACATCCTCAGAAATGCCTTCCTTGACATCCCTTGTCTGAAGTTGCTCTCCTTTGTTACTCTCCAACACAGCACGCTATCCATTTTGCTATGTTTATACCAATTTGGACTGAAGTCTTTTTTTTCTTGCTTCTTTACTGTCTTGCCACTAGAATATAAATCCAGCAACGGCACCCAGAGCAATATTTTTTCAGAACTGTTTACCTAGCTCAGGCCGTAGCCCATAGCAGGTGCTCAATACATACTTGACCAATGAGTGAATGAAGGGAAACATCTTGAGAGTTCTTTTAGACCTTCTCTCACTAGCCCAGCTCTTCATTGAGTGGATCCTGCCTTCAACTGATTTCCTTCTTCTCTTCTTTTTTTTTGAGTTTATTTTTATATATTTTGAGAGAGATAGAGAGCAAGCGGGGGAGGGACAGAGGGAGAAGGAGACAAAATACCAAACAGGTTCCATGCTGTCCGTGCAGAGCTGATGCGGGGCTCGAACCTGCAAATTGTGAGATCATGACCTGAGCTGAAATAAAAGTTGGATGCTTAACTGACTGAACCACCCAGGCACCCCCCCATCATCTCTTCTTCCCTACACTAATCTCACTAAGGACAGGAGCTTCAAGCAAGTATAGCTTTAAGGCTAGGTTCCTAATGTAAAATGCTGGGGAAAGTCTTTAGAAACAATTTTAAATAACTATAACTTAAAATCATGATATGAATTGTAAGGCAAGGAACTACAAACTCAATAACATAGTGCAATATTTAACCCCAGTAACTGGTCTTGTCCACCTATATTTTAGCAAATCAGCATGCAATGAAAATTATAATACAAGCTAAGATGATCTCCAACAAAGAAATTTTCAGTTTCTAGGTTTTAAAAAAATATATATCTTTACATAGAAAATTAGAACAATTATTATCTTCATATTTCAACTCTTGGTATTACTGAGGTCATAGACACTAATTCCAGGTTTTAGACATTTACAAATTATATGTTCCACCCTTTACAAGGGAAAATGATGCTACTGACTCACTCTTAGTTGAACAGGCATTTGCTTTGTTTATTCAGCTGTGGTCCTGGTTTGGGTTACTCGATCAATTCCTTTTCGTGAGGTCCCCTTCCAGCCACTGAGAAGTTTTTATACTTACACAAGTTCGATGACCTATAAATCTTAATTTCATCATGTTTTAAACAACTTAGGTAATAATTGAGACGCATACATCGTCAATTTGTCAAGTGTGTGTGTGCGTGTGTGTGTGACTAACAAATTGCAAATGGCCTATGTTGGTATAGTATTTCCAATTCCTATCCATTCCCTAAGTGCTATCCTAACCATATTCCACTGTCACTTCATTTCAAGGGATTATGATATAAGATTAAAACTGAAAGGATATCATTTAATATAGTTTGAAGCATAAGAGGTTTAAAGTAACTATTGTACAGTTGAGTGTGTACACATTTTATTACCTACCTATTTAGAATAGGAATGGTGTAAGCCTGTTAAAATTATTATAGCTAGAAGACTTTATCATAGTATTTCTTGCGTGTGTATATATAAAATCAACATTTATTGTGCACTTAAATCGTAATACATATTTTACAATATAGTATCAGATCATTTAACTCTCAAACAATTCTGTGAGGCATGTATTATCATTTGCTTTAAAAAAAATTTTTTTTAATGTTTATTTATTTTTGACAGAGAGAGAGAGAGAGACAGAGCCTGAGCTGGGGAGGGGAAGAGCGAGAGAGGGAGACACAGAATCCGAAGCAGGCTCCAGGCTCTGAGCTGTCAGCGCAGAGCCCGACGCGGGGCTCGAACTCACAGACCGCTAGATCATGACCTGAGCCGAAGTTGGACGCTCAACCGACTGAGCCACCCAGGTGCCCCTATCATTTGCTTTTTTAAAAAAATGTTTATTTTAGAGAGAGAGAGACAGACAGAGAGAGAGAGAGAGAAGAGAGAGCATGAGCAGGGGAGAGGCAAAGAGAGAGGTGGAGAGAGAATCCCCAGCAGGCTCCACACTGCCAGCATGGAGCCCAACACAGGACTCGATTCCATGAACCATGAGATCATGACCTGAGCCGAAGTCAAGAGTCCAATGCTCAACCAAATGAGCCACCCAGGTGTCCCTATCATTTCCTTTTTACAGAGGAGGACTCTGGGGCGTAAAGAGGGTGAGTACCATGCCAAACGTCCAACAGCTGATACATCCACCCAAGATACGAGCCCATTTGTGTCTGGCTACAACGGCTATGCTCATGGCACTGTGAGAGTTCTACTTAATTTAACTCTATGTGTTCAAATTCCAGAGTTCTGAAATGTACTGCTCTAATTCCTGAGTTCTGCAATTATACGGCCCCGCATAGCACACATTATAAATCTTCAGCTGGAGTAAATCTGCCACTCAGAAGTAACAGGAAAAGGTTACATGCTCAAGATGTTCCATTATGTAACATCATACATTTGTGAAACTAAAATCACACAGGAAATAATGTAGCTAAAGTCTGCTAAAAATTTGGCCACGCAAACAATTTTAATCTCCTTTCTTAGAACATCAGTTTTTCAAGCACTTTCAAAGAAATAGTTTCCATTTGAAAAGAGACCCACGTGGACACATTTTTTAAAAGAAATACGTGTAAAGTAACTGGAATTTGATTTAAAGTCTGTCTAGGAGCAAAGGAAAAGCAGAGGGCTCTTCTCAAACATCTGAACTCAGCTATACGAATACAAGTGGGGCTGAGAGAGACCTGTGGGGGGGGAGGGGGGGCCTGGGTTGTGAGCATGGCTGGTGGGAGGGGGTGATAAGGGAAGACAGAAGAAACAAAGTGGAGGAAGAAGAACTTCTAAAACCAAGTTTCAGAACAACCGAAGAAGAGACTGAGTAAAAGCTCCAGTTCAAAGCACTAAATGTAAGAAAAACTTGATGGAAAGAAAACAGAAGGAAACAAACGTAGGTGGAGTTTTTTTCTCCCCTAAACACTCAACCAGCTGTTCAGCCCAACGGCTGAATCCAAGATGACACGACGGTGGTGGGATCTGATTGAAGCTGATGTTTTGTTTCTTTTTCTTTAGTTGCCAAGTAACACCTTCACCTCAATGTTCTTTTCCATCACCCTCAGGGTTTATATTCAGGTCTCTGTGCTGGGTGTTTGTTCTTAGACATACAATTCTGTACCTTAGTAGAAATACAAACGTACGGGAGTTAAATATTTTGTGAAGTTCTAATATGAAATGTTTTCCCTTCATGAACATCGATTTTTCCCCACCTTCCTCTCTTTATGACTATAAACGTTTTGTCCAAATAGCTAGATCCCTGGCCAAAGGAATTATTTTAAGTTAAAGAGAAAGTGAGATTATGTTCAAGAAGACAGACTGAATACATGCATTGTCTTTCTCCCTTTTCCAAAATAGTATTGAAATGGAATAAAACATGTTTCAATTCTATTTGTTACCCATTGTTGTATAGCAACTTATCCCCAAACTTGGAGGCTTTTAACAACAAGTAGTTTTGGAACCTCACAGTTTGTGTGGGAGTTTAGGAGCAGGTCAGCTGGGAGCTTCCGGCTTAGGGTCTCTCACGAGGCTATCATCAAGATGTCATGGGGGCGCCTGGGTGGCTCAGTCCGTTGAGCGTCCGACTTCGGCTCAGGTCACGATCTCGCAATCTGTGAGTTCGAGCCCCACATGGGGCTCTGTGCTGACAGCTCGGAGCCTGGAGCCTGCTTCGGATCCTGTGTCTCTCTCTCCCTCCAACCCTCCCCCACTCACACTCTGTTTCTCTCTCTCAAAACTAAACATTAAAAAAAAATTAAAAAAAAAGATGTCACAGATGAGTGGAGGCTGAAGTCTTCTGAAAACTGGATGACTTAGAGGGTCCACTGTCAAGCTCCCTCAAGGCTCTGGGCAGGAGGCCTCAGTTCCTCACCACATGGGCTTCTCTACAGGGCGGTCCTCCTGACATGGCACCTGGCTTCCCTCAGTGAGCGTGACCCGAGCCATAAAGCGCAAGATGGAAATCACCATGTCTTTTATGACCGAGCCTTAGAAGTCACATGCTATCATTTCTGTCGTCTTCTGTTAGCCACACAGATTAACTCTGATACAGTTGGAAGAGGACTACATACATAAGGATGGGAATATCAGGATGAGGAGGTCACTGGGGACTATCTTGGGGGCTGGCTATGACAGAAAGATAAATCCCAAACAGCAAAGTAAAAGGGAAATTTTAGCCATCAGAAGATTATCTATACAAATAGAGAGTTTTTGAATGATAGAAAGCAAATGAAACTAGAGAACATTTAGAGATAAATAAAAATGAGACTCCTAGATACAATAATCTAGGGATGTAGTCAAGTTAATACTCAGAGGAAAATATATAGCCTTAATTTATTATTAGAAAACCCAGAATGTGAGGAAATGTATTAACTAAGCATTCAACTCAAGTAATTACGAAAACTCATACTAATTTCAGCCTTTATCTGGCGTACGAGTTTTTAAAAATACTTTTGAATAATAAAACCCAAAACTGCTCCTACAAAAAGGCCAAAAACTAGCAAAGCTTTTGAAAGCCTAGTCAAAAGCAAGAGAGAAGGTACACATAAAAACTAAAACTGAAAGAAGCCAATCCACAAATTACGAGAAATAACAAATCATTGCGTTAAGCCACCATGTTTTGTGGTAGTTTTATCCACAGCAATAGATCAACTGAAATACACAGCATATAAACCCTGTCAGTCCAGTAGCTGCAGCTGGGCCAGTGACATCCTGGCCAATTAGAACAACAGGCACATACCTCTTATGATGGGCACCACATGGTAAATATTCTAGGTTTTGTAGGCCAGACAGTCTCTGTAAAAATACTCTGTTAATTCTGCCATTGTCGCACAAAACAGCCATAGACAGAACATAAATTAATTGCATGGCATTTTCCAATAACACTTTATTTACAAAACCAGAAAACAAACTGGATTTGGTCCGTGGGCTGCAGTTTCCAGTTCCTCGGTTAGAGCGCTGCATTTGTTGGCCACGGGGTTTGGATCACAGAAGGGCACATTATACCATCAGATGCAATGAGACTCAAGTCTAAGACTCTGTGAATCTGTTGAGAAGAGAAAATAACTGTGTTCTGCTGGGATTGTCACCCAGACACAGGAAGCTTGGATATGCTACTAACCATCTCGCTGCCATGAAGGAATCATTGCCTCTTGCTGAAGAATGTACGACCAAGAGTTGGAAAGGGGAACCTTGTGACAATATCTGAACTCCTAGATCCATATGAGCCTGAGGCTACAACTGCCTTTAGGCTTTTCAAGCATTTGAGCCTATGTATTTTTTTACTTGCTTAAGCCCACTTTAGTTATTGACCATTTATAGTCAAAGAAGTCATTTATTTCTTTATTCCTTCATTTATTCAACCCACATTGATTGAGTCCCCCTACGCACCAGGCACTATGGAGCTGGGAACATACCAGCATATACGGCAAATGAGTTCCCTACTTTTATGGGGCTTATCTTCCAATGGAAAAGGTCAGGTCATCAACATGTTAAATAAATAAAGGCTTTTGTTTCAGATACTGTTAAGTACAATGAGGAAATGAAGCAAGGAGTGATGGACGGTGGTTATCTGGATAAGGTGATTAGGAGAAACCTCTGTGACAAGGGATGAGAATGAGGAGAAGGAGCCAGATACAGAAAAGCTCTAGAGAAAGTGTATTCCCTATAGAGAAACCAGCAAGAATAAAGCCTAAAGGCAGGAATAAGCTCAGTATTTTTTTTAATTTTTTTTTCAACGTTTATTTATTTTTGGGACAGAGAGAGACAGAGCATGAACGGGGGAGGGGCAGAGAGAGAGGGAGACACAGAATTGGAAACAGGCTCCAGGCCCTGAGCCATCAGCCCAGAGCCCGACGCGGGGCTCGAACTCACGGACCGCGAGATCGTGACCTGGCTGAAGTCGGACGCTTAACCGACTGCGCCACCCAGGCGCCCGAAGCTCAGTATTTTTAAGGAACGGTAGGAAACCTAGTGCAGTGAAAACACGATGGATAAGAAAGAGGATGAGACAAGGTGAGATTGGAGGGGTAGACGGGAGACTAAGCAGGCCATCAGAGAGTTTGGATATTTTTTCCTAAGTATGTTGGGATGTCACTAGGGAATTTTTTCTTTTTCTTCTTTTTCTTTTTTTTCTTTTTTTTGCAGAAGAAATGACACAAGAGAGATAGAGAGAGATAGAGATGAGACAGAGACAGAGACAGAGATAGAGATATAAAGTTCTAACAGAGTAGATCTTAAAAGTTTTCATCACAAGAAAAAAATCGTAACTAGGGGTGGTGATGGATGTTAGCTAGACGTAGTGTGGTGATCATTTCCCAATATGTACAGATACTGACTCATTATGTTCTATACCTGAAAGTAATGCCATGTTCTATGTCTATATATATTCTGTGGCTGCTATGAAAGGAGGAAGAATGGGAGCAGGGACTGCTGTATTCTGAGACTGTTGTAGCAGTCCAGGTCAGAGATGAAAGGGGGCTTTGGACCAGCACGTGAAGTGATGTTTAACGGTGGGCAGTGGTTGGATTTGGGATGCATTTTAAAAACAGAAAAAATCAGGGTGCCTGGGTGGCTCAGTTCTTTGAGCATCCAACTTCAGCTCAGGTCATGATCTCACGGTTTGTGGGTTCGAGCCCCATGCCGAGCTCTGTGCTGACAACGCAGAGCCTGGAGTCTGCTTCAGATTCTGTGTGTGTGTATGTCTCTCTCTCTGCTCCTCCCCCATTCATGCTCTGTCTCTCAAAAATAAATAAACAGTAAAACAATTTAAAAAAAAAACAGAAAAAATAAAAACCAGTACTTACTGATGGGTTGTGTCATGGAGGGGAAAGCCAGAGAGGAATGCACTGTGATTTTTAGGTTGTGGTAGAAATAGCGATTTGTGCCACCAGCTGAGGAAGGGATGAATATAAAAGCAGTGGATTTGGGGAAGGAGCTAAGAACTGAGTGTGTAATTTTGGTTTGTTAAGGTTGAAATGTCTATGAAATATCCGAGTGGCTATAAGTGGAAGCATTTGAACACTCTGGACAGAAGTATGGCAAAGAAATCAATGTGGGAATCAACAGCGAACATGTGGTACTCAAAGCCACAAATGTGATCGAGAAGAGGGTTGAAAAGTGAGCTCTGGGCACGCCAGGACCTTCCACATTTAGGGACCAAAAAGAGGAAGAGGTGCAAGTAAAGGTAACTAAAGAGTAATGCCGGGTGATGTGGGAACAAGACGAAAAGAATATTGTGTCCCAGATGCCAGAAGAGAAAAGGACTCAACAAGAGATGGTCAAATGTAGAACAACAATAATAATAACAGTAATAATACTGAGATGAAGACAGAGGATTGCCCAATGGATTTGGAAAAATGGAGTCTCCAGGGACTTTGGCACAAGTGGTTTCAGCGGTGCAGGGTGGGGGGGGGGGTGGGTAGTGGGGAGGGGAAGGGGGGAGGAGAGGACAAAAGAGAAATGGCAAGCCAGGAGATAGAAACAATGAGACGAGGCAAGTTTTTCAAGGAGCTATAAAGAGGTGTTTTTTTAACTGCGAAATTGTGCCAAATGTTGCAAGGACTCTGGAATCCACATGGTCATAAAATTTTGGAAAGAAAAGAGAGATTTGTAGAAAATGGAAGAATATTTTAAGAGAGCAAATTTTACTAAAAACAGGCTGCAGAAGTTTCCTATTAGTCTGTAGGAAAGTATTCAAATGACATTCCAGAGCTCTAACTAGTAGCTAACAGATACCCAGAGCAAACCTCATTCTTAATGATAAAACAAAAATATTAAAATAAGGATCAAATCACGAATGCCAAGTAACACTACTGTTATTCCACATTGTGCAAGAATCCTAACCAATGCAGTAGATGCAAAACATGCAATGGGATGGAATTTTTGAAAAGAGGGGAGGCTTTCAATGTTTGCATGCTTTAAAATCAGTAGTGTGGGGTGCCTGGGTGGCTCAGTCGGTTGAGCATCCGACTTCAGCTCAGGTCACGATCTCACGGTTCGTGAGTTCGAGCCCCGCGTCAGGCTCTGGGCTGATGACTCAGAGCCTGGAGCCTGCTTCCGATTCTGTGTCTCCCTCTCTCTCTGCCCCTCCCCCATTCATGCTCTGTCTCTCTCTGTCTCAAAAATAAACATTAAAAAAAATTAAAAAAAATAAATAAAATCAGCAGTGTAATGATACTTGTGAATGTAGTTTCCAACATGAATGTTGGTTGTTGATGTTTTTGTTTACATTAATGAGGAAAACAAAAGTGAAACAATTTGTCCTAACTATACCTGTTGGTCCATGTGAGCTACTTTGTGACGAAATGGAAAAATAATTTTCAAATATTGCCAATTTTTTGTGCAATTCACAATGTATGACATGATGCATGTTTTTTTTTTTAAATATTTATTCATTTTTGAGAGACAGAGCATGAATGAGGGAGGGCAGAGAGAGGGAGACACAGAATCCCAAGTAGGATCCAGGTTCTGAGCTGTCAGCACAGAGCCCGACGTGGGGCTCGAACCCACGAACCATGAGATCATGACCTGAGCCAAAGTTGGATGCTCAACCAACTGAGCCACCCAGGTGCCCCAGACATGATGCATGTTTGAGTTTAATCTCCATTATTAACATTTTTCTCTGTTACTTTAAGTCCAGACAATTAACAAAATAATAAGTCAGGACCTGCCTTGAAGTGTTTGCTGATTTTCACGATGTAAATATTCTCATCATGATTGATTTCAAGCTACCAATGTGAACTCACTCAACGTGAAGTTGGAGAAGATACACAGTAGAGTATTATTATAAAGAATTTCCACTGCACAGAAATATTGGAAATGAATAACTTTAAGAGTAGAGATAAGTAAAATAATTAGGACACAATAGGTACTGAGCTTCTATCTTTGTTTTTAATAAAATCTATTTCATTATAAAGTTATACAATTTAATCTTTAATAATGGCTATGTTTAACAATCAGCTGACGAAATTCCTGACTATGTAAAAAATTGACTCTTATGAGCTGGCATAAACAGCATTCATACATCATATACTTGTGTACCTATAAAAGCAAAGAAAATCAAATGAAAACCTAATGGAACCAAAGAAGAATCAGTTAAGTTGGTTAGATACAAGACCAACAAATGTAGAGTAAAAACCGTTGATTCACAGTGGCAACAAGCACAATAAAATAATTAAGAAAAGGCCTAATACATAATGAGCAAGTCACCTATTAAGAGACGTGTAAAGCTTCATGGATTCACACTCTATTATTATTTATTTTTATTTTTTTTAACGTTTATTTTTGAGACAGAGCATGAACGGGGGAGGATCAGAGAGAGGGAGACACAGAATCTGAAACAGGCTCCGGGCTCTGAGCTGTCAGCACAGACCCCAACGCGGGGCTTGAACTCACTGACCGTGAGATCATGACCTGAGCCGACGTCGGCCGCTTAACCAACTGAGCCACCCAGGCACCCCCACACTTTAAAAGACATAAATAAATGAAGAGATATAGGTTGTTTCTACATAGACACAGTTAATGTTGTAAAGATGTAAGCTGTCTCCCAAAGTCCACTAATACAGTCTCAGCCAAAATTCAAACAGGATTTTGTACAGAAATTGGCAAGTGGATTCTGAAGTTTGTTGGAAGAGAACGTGCCCATGAATGAATTGTTTAAAAAAAAAAAACAAAACAAAACAAAACTTGGTCTCCTAGATATAAAAAGATTCTCTAAAACATTGGTAATTAAAATAGTGAGATTCTGGCGTAAGAGTTAACAAACATATGGAGGAAACTGAAGAAAGAATTCAAAACGTTTCATTTGTAAGAAAGTGTTGTACTCGCCGAGAAAGGAGGCAGTTCAAATCAATGGGAAAGGAGGTAGTGCGAATTATTTATCCTACAATTTACCAAAAAGTTGTAAAACTTCACATTTCACACCAGACAAAAAAAATTAATTCCAAATGCCTAAAGTCATCAGTATTAAAGAAGGAAATAACTTTAAAGGAATACAGGGTGTTATATTTATAATCTTAGCATGGTGAAATATTTCCTTAGCAAGACACACAAACCAGAAGGGATAAAGAAAAAATTGACAGATTTTTAAAAACTCATATTTTTTGTATAACAAGAAACCCATCATTCGAGACCAAAAATAAGTTACAGACCGAGAACAAATATCCACCACCATATAGCAAAGGATATATACGAACAATATAACAAGAGGTCCTGGTGATAAACAATAGTAGACTGTAACACACCATTTATATCAACAGATAGATCATCTAGGAAGAAAATCCAGAAGGAAAAAGTGTCTTTGAATGACACATGAGACCTGGACATGACAGATATATAGGGAACATCCCATTCAAAAACCACAGAATATACATTCTTTTCAAGTGCACATGGAACATTCTTCAGAATAGATAACATGGTTAGGCCACAAAACAAGTCTCAATAAATTTAAGAAGACTAAAATCATACTATGCATCTTTTCTGACCACAGTGGTATTGAAACTAGAGGTCAATCACAAAAGAAAAACTGGAGAAAGAAACCTAAACAACTAAAAAAACTAAACAACAATGGGTCAAAGAGGAAATCAAAGAAGAAATTGAAAAATACATGGAGATCAATGAAAATGAGATCACAGCAGGTGAAAATGTTTGAGATGCAGTGAAAGCAGTTCTAAGAGGGAAATATATAGCAATCCAGGCTTACCTCAAGAAACAAGAAAAGGCTCAAATAAACAATCTAAACTTACATCTAAAGGAACTAGAAAAAGTAGGACAAACAAAGCCCAGAGTGAATAGAAGGAAGGAAATAATAAAAATCAGAACAGAAATAAATGACATAAAAGCTAAAAAAGAAAATAGAAAAGATCAATGAAATCAAGAGCTGGTTCTTTGAAAAGAGACAAAATTGATAAACCCTTAGCCAGAGTCATCAAGAAAAAGAGAGAAAGGACTAAAATAAATAAAATCAGAAATGAAAGAGAAGTAACAACTGACACCATAGAAATACAAAGAATTATAAGAGAATACTACAAAACAGTTATATGCCAACAAATTGGACACCCTAGAAGAAATTGATAAATTTCTAAGAACATACAATTTTCTAAAATGATCTAGGAAAAAATAGAAAATCTGAATAGACCAATTACTAGTAAAAAAAAAAAAAAGAATCAATAATTTTATGGGGCGCCTGGGTGGCGCAGTCAGATAAGCGTCCGACTTCAGCCAGGTCACGATCTCACGGTCTGTGAGTTCGAGCCCCGCGTCAGGCTCTGGGCTGATGGCCCGGAGCCTGGAGCCTGTTTCCGATTCTGTGTCTCCCTCTCTCTCTGCCCCTCCCCCGTTCATGCTCTGTCTCTCTCTGTCCCAAAAATAAATAAACGTTGAAAAAAAAATTAAAAAAAAAAAATGAATCAATAATTTTAAAAAACTACCAAAATTAAAAATCCAGGACCAGATGATTCACAGGTGAATTCTATCAAACATTTAAAAAGGAGTTAATACCAATTCTCCTCAAACTATTACCAAAAAAAAGAAGAGAAATGAAATTTTCTAAATATATTCTACAAGGCCAACATTACCCTGATACCAAAACCAGACAAAGACACTACAAAAAAAGTAAACTCCAAGCCAATATCCCTGATGAACATAGATTCAGAAATCTTCAACAAAATATAGCAAACCACATTCAACAATATATTCAACACACACCACAATCAAGTGGGATTTATGTTGGGAATGCAAGGATAATTCAAAATTTGCAAATCAATCAACATGATATACCACATCAAAAATGAAAGATATAGCACAAAAACAGACACTCAGATCAATAGAACAGAATCAAGAACCCATAAATGGACCCACAAACATATGGCCAACTAATCTTTGACAAAGCAGGAAAGAATATCCAATGGAATAAAGACAGTCTTTTCAGCAAATGGTGCTGGGAAAACTGGACAGTGATATGCAGAAGAATGAACCTGGACCACTTTCTTACACCATACACAAAAATCAACGCAAAATGGATGAAAGACCTAAATGTAAGACAGGAAGCCATCAAAATCCTAGAGGAGAAAACAGGCAAAAACCTCTTTGACCTTGGCCACAGCAACTTCGTACTCAACATGTCTCCAGAGGCAAGGGAAACAAAAGCAAAAATGAGCTATTGGAACCTCATCAAGATAAAAAAATTTCTGCACAGCGAAAGAAACAATCAGCAAAACTAAAAGGCAACTGACAGAATGGAAGAAGATATTTGCAAACGACGTATCAGATAAACGGTTAGTTTCCAAAATCTATAAGGAACTTATCAAACTCAACACCCAAAAAAACAAATAATCCAGTAAAGAACTGGGCAAAAGACATAAATAGATACTTCTCCAAAGAAGGCATCCAGATGGCCAACCAACACATGAAAAAATGCTCAACATCACCCATCATTAGGGAAATACAAATCAAAACCACAATGAGATATCCTCTCACACCTGTCAGGCAACAACAGATGATGGTGAGGATGCGAAAAAAAAGATCTCTTTTGCACTGCTGATGGCAATGTAAATTGGTGCAACCACTCTGGAAAACAGTATGGAGGTTTCTCAAAAAATTAAAACTAGAACTACCCTAAAACCCAGCAATTGCTCTACTAGGTATTTATCCAAGGGATGCAGGTGTGCTGTTTCAAAGGGGCACAGGCACCCCAATGTTTATAGCAGAACTATTGACAATAGCCAAAGTATGGAAAGAGCCCAAATGTCCATTGATGGATGAATGGATAAAGAAGATGTGGTATATATACATACAATGGGGTATTACTCCACAATCAAAAAGAATGAAATCTTGCCATTTGCAACTACGTGGATGGAACTGGAGGGTATTATGCCAAGTGAAATTAGTCAGAGAAAGACAAATATCATATGACTTCACTCATATGAGGACTTTAAGACACAAAACAGAGGAATATAAGGAAAGGGAAGCAAAAATAATACAAAAAAACAAGAAGGGAGACAAAACATAAGAGACTCTTAAATATAGAGAACAAACTGAGGGTTGCTGGAGGCTGCTGTGGATGGGCGAATGAGCTAAATGGGTAAGGGGCACTAAGGAAGACAGTTGTTGGGACGAGCACTGGGCATTACACATAGGAGAGAATCACTGGAATCTACTCCTGAAATCATTATTGCACTATATGCTAAGTGGATGCAAATTTAAAAATAGTTAATTAATTAAACAAGAGACAAAAAAATGAAAGTTAAAAATCATATGATCATCTCAATAGATGCAGAAAAGGTTTGGCAAAATACCACATCCATTCATGATAAAACCTCTCAATAAGGTGGGTTTAGAGGGAACATACCTCAACATAATAAAAGCCATATATGAAAAACCCACAGCTAACGTCATACATAATTGTGAAAACCTGGGAACTTTTCCTCTAAGATCAGGAACAAGACAAGGATGTGCACTCTCACCACTTTTATTCAACATAGTAGTGGAAGTCCTAGCCACAGCAATCAGACAAGAAAAAGAAATAAGAGGATCTGTATTAGTAAAGGAGCTCAACTGTCACTATTTACACATGATACTATACATAGAAAACCCTAAAGACTCCACCAAAAAAACTGTTACAACTAATAAATGAATTCAGCAAATTTGCAGGATGCAAAAGTAATACCTACAAATTGGTAATGTTTCTTTATGCCAATAAAGGAGTAACAGAGAAATTAAGAAAACCGTCCCACTTACAATTGCACTAAAGAGAAGAAAATACATCTAGGAATAGACTTAAACAACAAGGTGAAAGACCTGTACTCTAAAAGCTATAAAACACTAATGAAAGAAATCAAAGACGACACAAATGGAAAAATGTACCATGTTCATGGATTGGAAGAATTACCATTGTCAAGATGTCCACCCTACCCAAAGCAATCTACAGATTCAATGCAATTCCTATCCAAATACCAACAGCATTTGGTTCAAAAAGATATAAACACCCCTATGTTTCCTGCAGCATTATTTATAATAGCCAAGATATGGAAGCAACCCGAATGTCCATCAATACAAGAATAGACAAGAAAAATGATATATAAAATATACCTATAGTGGAATATTAGATAACCATAAAAAAGGATACGCTCTTCCCATTGGTGACAACATGAATGGACATAGAGGGTTTCGTGCCAGTGCTAAGTGAGATAAGTCCGACAGGGAAAGACAGACGCCATATGATTTCACTCATAAGTGGAATCTAGAAAAATGAAACAAATGAATAAATAAGCAAAAAGCAAAATCAGACCTATACATACAGAGAAAAAAACTGATGGTTGCTTGGGGATGATGGGCAAAATGGGCAAAGGGAGTGGGAGATATAGGTTTCCAGTTAGGGAATGAATAAGTCACAGCAAGAGAAGGCACAGCATAGGGAATATAGTCAATGATATTGTGATAGGGTTGTATGGTGACAGATGGTACCTATACCTGTGAGCACAGCATCATGCACAGAAATGTTGACTTGCTACGTTGTACACCTGAAACTAATGTAACATTGTGTGTCAGCTACACTCAAATTAAAAAAAAAAATTAAAACAACATATCAAGAGGTCCTATAAATCAGAGAAAGATAATACCTCAAGTAAAAGAAAACTGTAACCCATCTGCCTCACAGAAATACCATGAGAGCTACAGATAGGATTTAAATTTTTTTAGCAGCCGTATTAAATTATTTAAAGCAGCATGTCTGTATTACTATTTGAACACATAATCAATGTAAAAAATGTTAATGAGATATTCTACATTGTTTTTCTTAGACCAAGTCTTTGAAATCTCTCGTGTACTTTATACTAACGGCGTATCTCAGTTGAGGCAATTTGGCTAGTGGCTATCACATCCGACTGCTGGTTAAAGTGAGTTGTTGGCCCAGATGAGCAGACTATTGCCTCAGATATACCAATGTGCAGAAATTTCCTAAAGCAACAGTGAAGTTACTAAATGGCTATAGTCTTTCCCTCGAGCAAAGTTTGCTAGGAGCAACGACTAGGCCATGCTTAGTTGGGCATTTCCGCACCCAGTCTTTGTTTTCAAATTCTTATTTTGTAACTCAGTAGTTGACATAGGTGGTCACAGTTCTTAGTCCTAGTAGCTATACGATCCATGTAGGTGGTGGCAGTTCTCAATGGTGAGTAGGGGTCTAGAAGGAATCTGGTTCCATTAAAACTTAACCACTCAGGAGCACCTGGGTGGCTTGGTCAGTTGAGTGTCTGACTTCAGCTCAGGTCATGATCCCACAGTTCATGGGTTCAAACCCTGCGTCGGGCTCTGTGCTGACAGCTCAGAGCCTGGAGCCTCTTCAGATACTGTGTCTCTTTCTCTCTCTGCCCCTCCCCCACTCATGCTCTGTCTCTGTCCCTCAAAAAAATGAATAAACATTAAAAAAAAATTTTTTTTTAAACGTAACCACTCAGCAAGCTCTGGGCTTCCCCAGATTTCTTTCTTTCTTTCTTTCTTTCTTTCTTTCTTTCTTTCTTTCTTTCTTTCTTTCCTTCTTTCTTTAATGTTTATTTATTTTTGACGCAGGGCATTGGGGGAGAGGCAGAGAGAATGGGAGACAGAGAATCCCAAGCAGGCTCCTCTCTGTCAGTGCAAAGCCCAATGTGGGGCTTGAACCCACGAACCCTGAGATCATGACCTGAGCCAAAGTCAGATGCTCAACCAGCTGAGTCATCCAGGCATCCCCAGATTTCTTAATATGTGAAAAAAAAATAATTTAAGCCAATTAATTAAGTTTGCATTACAGGCAGCAAAATTCAGTTTCTTTCTTTCTTTTTTTAAGTTTATTTATTTATTTTGAGAGAGAGACGGTGTAAGCAGGGGAGGAGCAGAGAGATCGGAAGATAGAGAATCCCAAGCAGGCTCTGTGCTGTCAGCACAAAACCTGACTTTTGAACTCATAAACCATGAAATTATGATGTGAGCTAAAATCAAGAGTCAGATGCTTAACTGACTGAACCAACCAAGTGCCCCAGCAAAGTTCAATTTCTTGTTGATACATCTTGAGAAGGAGGAATTGTCATGTATTAAGAAGTCCCAAAGCTCTTAAGGAATTCTCCTGAAAGAGAGAACTGACCAAGGGCCAAGGATGAAAGGCCTTCTCAGCCATGCTAAGGAGATTGGGTTTTATCTGGGGTGCGATGGGGAGACTCTTAAGAATTCATTAATAAGTGACATGAGCTGATTTGTGGCTTGGAAAACGCTGGTGGCATTTTGGAGTAGAGATCAGAGAGGGACAAGACTGGAGTCAGGAAGACCCGCTGGTGCAGCAACCGAAAATAAATGGCAAGGATCTGAGCTGTGGTGATGAATGTAACAGGCCCTTCATTCATTCCTCCATTCCGTAAGTACATAGTGAATGCCTATCATTTGCCAGGCACTGTGGAATGCATTGGAGATTCCGTGGAAACAGCTTGTGGGCTTACAATCTAACACATATCACAGTCCTGCTATCCATCAAATGCTTTTTGTTCATGATCTCAATTACTCTTCACAAAAACGCCGTGTGTGTGTGTGTGTGTGTGTGTGTGTGTGTGTGTGTGTG